GAGTTGTGTCCACCTTCTAACAGTTATCTTCTTCGGTCACACAGAAGTGTTGTTGATACCCAATTGGATTATTTAAAAAACTTGAAAAGGAGTGGGGTTGCATTGTCGGATGGCATTCGATTTTTGAAACACCAGTCTGGAGGTTCAACATTGGTTGGATTTACACCAAGGGATGCTTATAATAGCCTGCATACAGATTCGATAAAGAGATTAGATGGGACCGATTCAAATTCACTAATTGAGATCTTTAGACAAAGGCAGTCGAATGAACCCGACTTTTTCTTTGATTTTGAATTAGATGAGGATGCAAGACTGTGTAATTTTTTTTGGAGGGATGCAAGAATGAAGGAGGATTTTGTGTTGTTTGGTGATTTGGTAGTGCATGACACAACGTATCGTACTAATAAGTATGATATGACTTGTGGTCCTTTTGTTGGAATGAATCACCATTGTATGAATATAATGTTTGGGTGTGGGTTTTTATTGAACGAGAGGACTGACTCATTTGTTTGGTTGTTTAAAACATTTTTGCGAGCTATGGGTGGTAAGTGTTCACAAACAATCATGACCGATCAATGTGCTGCTATGTCTGCTGCAATCTCTCTGGTTTTCCCAAGTGCAAGGCACAGGCTTTGTATTTGGCATATTGGAGAGAATTCAAAGAAACATATTAAATGTCTAAGGAGTCAAAACGGCTTTATGGAGTTATTTAATTTTCTATTGAAGTACACGGACACAGAAGCTGAGTTTGAATTTTTATTGGAATATGTACATATGCTATTAAATTTATCATTTTATATATTTGATTTGTCATTCTTGCATTGTGACGTAGATTACTTTGTGCTTATAAAATCAAACATGTGATGCTTTACTTTTCATGTTAAGTTGGAAATTGTAGTGTTTAGAAAATGTACTTTATGGGTTATAATAATGTACCTTATGAATACTGAAAATGTATCTTTGCAGCAGCAATTTGATAAAAAAAAATTTCCTTGTTTTTCTAGTTGCATTTAAAACTTAGTTCTTTTCCTTGTTCTCTATATGTGATTCCTTTGTAGCATGTAGTAATTTGTACTAATAAATGAAGTGTCATACAGTTTTACCTTTCATGTTAAGTTGGAAACTGTAGTGTTTAGAAAATGTACTTTATGGGTTATAATAATGTACCTTATGAATGCTGAAAATGTATCTTTGCAGCAGCAATTTGATAAAAAAAAATATCCTTATTTTTCTAGTTGCATTTAAAACTTAGATCTTTTCCTTGTTCTCTATGTGTGATTCCTTTGTAGCATGTAGTAATTTGTACTAATAAAATGAAGTGTCATACAGTTTTACCTTTCATGTTAAGTTGGAAATTGTAGTGTTTAGAAAATGTACTTTATGAGTTATAATAATGTACCTTATGAATGCTGAAAATGTATCTTTGCAGTCACACTCAGGTTTGTTGTTTTCAGGTTGGTGACGAACTATAATTGCCATAAAAATGTTTGGTTAAACAAATTGTATGATATTAGGGAGAAGTGGTGCCATGCTTTTAATAAAGATTACTTCTCTGGAGGTATCTTATCTTCCCAACGAAGTGAGACTACAAATCACTCAATTTCAAGAAGGTTATCTAAAACATCTGGGTTGTCTGATTTTTACAATTCTTTTGTTAATGTGGTTTCTGAGTGGAGGAGCAAAGAGAATGGGGAAGATGTGCGGTGTTCTCAAGGGTTGCCTACAATGGCATTGGATCATGTAAAACTTCTTTTACATGCTAGGAATGTATACACTATTGAGGCTTACTACTTGTTTGAGCAACAATTTTTGAAATGTGCTGCTTGTCATCAAGAGAGTGTAGCGAGCAATGTTGATGAGCTTAAATATCACATTTGGCGGCCGGATATTGACATTATTCGGCATGAGGTTTGTTTCAATATTAAGGATATGAACATATGTTGTACTTGCAAGTTTTTCTCCGAGATGGGTATTCTTTGTTCACATTGTTTGCGTATTTTGAACATTCATTGTGTTGAAAAAATTCTTGAGAAATATATTTGTAGAAGGTGGACAAAAAAGGTTGTTGAACACAGGATTATGGACATTGCATCTTCTTCTAGTATTTTGGCAGTTGCTTCTCCAATTTGGGTTATAGATATGGGTAGAAAATGGCAAAGGCTAGTTCTATCAAGTCAAGACAATTGCAAAGCTCGACAAGTATGTGAAAACCTTATTGGAGATGGAAGAAGAAGGATTGAAGGTGAGGTTGGTCCTATTTGCTTTGATGATTTGGAAAGATCTATGCGAAGTAGTGGTATACAAAATCCAGAACGAAGTGGTGTGAAAGGCAACCGTAATCGAAGGCCAGTCAGCACAGTACAAAAAAAAAGTATAATCAAGCACGTGGCCGAAAAAAATTATGCAAAAAGAGTTGAATCTAACACAAAGGCTGCCGTCCAATCTTCTATGCAGGAAGTTGTGTCTAATATTGTTGGTAGTGGGTATCTTGTTCATCCTAATGACACTACTAGTTCAGAATTGATTTGTGTTAGGTCTAAGTCTCAAAACAATTCAAATGATAATTAGGAGTTGTACTGAAATTTTGTTTACTTATATATGCACTTCACAGATTATGAATTAGTTTTATATTGTGTGAGTTATTTACAGGTTATGAATTGGTTTTATATTCTGTGAGTTTTTAAAGGAAGTATTTGCACTTGACAGATTATGAACATTTGTGTTTTATGCATTAATAAAATGTTTTCTTATTTGGTAATGTATTCAGTGTGTTAAAATAATGTACCTTGTGCTCTAAAATAATGTACCCTATTTGTTAACAAAATTATCCTTGCAGTCTTGATTTTGGGTAATGTACTCTATAAGTTAGAATAATGTACCTTGTGCTCTAAAATAATGTATCCTATGAGTTAGCAAAATGTATATTAGTTAAGGTCACGTATTCATGAATTGATCACCACTTAGAGTCTTAGAGATGATGGGTGGTATACTCCTCAACCCCAACCCCGTCCACGCAACCATGGAAAATTAGGGGAGGGGTTCGTTGGTAAAACAAACTATTATTTTATATTTTCAAAACATATTTTAATAATTTTTAAATTTGACTTTTAATTTTATGTTACTTTTTATAGTTTCTAAAAACATATTTTTTGGTTTTATGCATTAATAAAATGTTTTCTTATTTGGTAATGTATTCAGTGGGTTAAAATAATGTACCTTGTGCTCTAAAATAATGTACCCTATTTGTTAACAAAATGTATCCTTGCAGTCTTGATTTTGGGTAATGTACTCTATGGGTTAGAATAATGTACCTTGTGCTCTAAAATAATGTACCCTATGTGTTAACAAAATGTTTTCTACAAAATGTTAACATTATAGTTTTCTACCAAATATGTATTTAGTGTATTGTCCATGCTGGACAATCTAAGCTCGAGTAATGATCCAAACCCAATCTCTTTAACCGCATTTTTTTGTTCATCACTGAGATTTGCCACCATTTTGTTAAACTCCATTGGTGACATCCTAGTCTTGAGCTGAATTTTCTTTGGAGCATTTTCTTTCTTTATAGTCCTATTAGTGGCCTTTTCTTTATTTCCGTCTTCTTCATTACTTGTAGATCTTTTCCTTTTCCGGTAGGTTTTGGTAACCTCTTTTAATGATAAATCTACTTCTTGGCTAGACATAGTTGTTGCAAGTAAAATGTTAGTTAAAGGAATAAATCCAGCGATGCTCTATTCACTAAAAGTGCTCATAAAATCATGAATTAAAATAGTCATGCTCTACAAAGAAATAAGATATTCACTAAAAGAATAAACTCCATGCACTACAAAATGTACAAAATAAATCATGCATAAAAAGAGGGTACCATGTGGATTAAAATAATGTATCTAATGAACAGATATAATGTACCTTAATAAAAAACACAACTTTCAAATCTGAATGTACACACAAATAATAAATTAAAATAATGTACCCTATGTGTTAAAATAATGTACCTAATGCATATAAGGAAAGGTGACACTTCACTCAAAGCCAAATAGAAGCTGGGAATGGAATTCATGTACTGTACAAAACCCCATACTCATTCAAAAGTCCCACAGACATCACAACCCATAAAGTACACACACATATTTGATTATATACCTCATGGCTCATGGAACTTATTCAAGCATTGGTTTGATTCATAGGGGTTCAGAAATGAAAAAAACTTGCATGACTTCAGATCCTAAAGCGTTGTTTGCATTTAAGATATTGACATTTTATTATTGCATAGGATCCCAGAGGGTCAAATTATATTCTAGTTTTCAACAAAAACTAGTTCTTTTGGTTGCTTGATGCAATATCTTGCCCTAGAAAACAGACACGGTTCAAACTACCACATCATAACAATTCAAAGAAGAAAAAGAGTAGTTAACTATCAGCAACAAAACACTTAACAAACTAGGAAATGCAGGAAACAAGCCAAACTTCAATTGAACACTTGCATTCTGTTAGGAAAATTTGCTATTTGAATGCTATGACAAACTAGTGTACCTATGGTCTTTATACAAACACACTTGATAGTAACTGTACGTGAGTTGAGAAAACACTTCAAGAAATTTTGATGTATTCAGAAATGTAAACAGACTCAATTACTGATCCAGAAATAAGAAACTATAAGGCTGACCATCCCTCTGACATGCAACCGCATTTACATTACTGATCATGAATGTAGATCTAATCAAGAGAGGACAACTCACCTTCAAAATCAATTCGAAATGTTAGCTTTGAGGCTCTTGACTCAATTCATTAGGTACATTATTTTATCCATCCCAATTCATTGTTTGAACTATGTTCTGCTTAGCTATGAAACCTAAATAGCATTTTTCTTTGCCTATGGATCAAGATTCTGGTTGTCTATTTCTGATGCTGTTATAAATGATCATTTGACTTCCTATTTAGAAGATTTAAGCACAGTTTATATACAGTAAGAAGTTAACATTCTGCATAGAAAGACAACAAAAAGTAATTTCCCTGTTTCTTGATTGTTGATTGAAAACTCAAAACTGGAAACCAAAGGTGTTCTTGACAGAGCTAATAAGCTGCAAAATTTTTCGAGTTTCTTGAAAGAGGAAAAATAACACTAAATAACACTAATAAAGTTTACAAATTAAAGCTAGAATTGCAGAGATCACCCACAATATACAAAATGTATATTCAGGCCTTATTAACTGCATTCTGATCTCATCTCTCCCTCTGTAATAAATCATAATGAATGGACGTAAAAAAACTACTCAAAAATCACAAAAACAACTACTCAAAACTCAATTTTAAAACCTAGGTAGTTGAAAATGTACCTAATCAGTAGATGGAGATGGCGCCGGAAATGGTGTACAAGAAAACTCTTGTGGCGTTCGTTTGTAGTAGAGTGCGCTGGAGGTGGCGTCGGAGACGGTTGAGATGCGCGAAGAAGATGGCGAAGAAACTGTCGAAGAAGCTGTCGGAGATGCGCGAAGAACACCCCAACGATGTAGAATTTTTTTTTTTTAAAAGATGTCTAACGGCGCCGTCTCTCCTTAAATGGAGAGACGGCGTCGTTTTGGACCATGGTTCAGCCAACTTGGCTGGACCATGGTCCAGCCAATAATTTGCCCTGCTTTTGGGGTTTAATTAGGTATATGTGCATATGCTATATCTTTAAAACTTTAATGAATGTTTATTTATACCATTTTGGTTGTTCTCTGGAATTGTGGAAGTAATATATTGTTGTGTAACCTCTCAATTATGGCGTAATAATTCTTTTCTGTATTTTATGTATTAGAATGAAATTTATGGGGTAAGATAATGTAGTTTATGAGTTAGAATATAATAATGTAGTTTATGTGTTAGGGCCCTGTTTGGTAAAGGATATAATTAGTTGATAACATTAGCTGATTGTAGAAATGTGTTTAGTAAATTAGCTGTTTGGTATAATTTCCTTTCTCAAAAAGTTAATTGAAAAAATTGTTTTGAGTGGCTTTTTTGAATTTTAGCATTTTGGAATTATAAAAAGCTAATTAACCAAATACTTATATTGATTTTTTAACCAAATCAAAAAACTAATAGTGGTCAAACAAGTCAAAATTAACTTATAGGCTAACTATTTTACCAAACAGGGCCAATATATTTTATGAGTAAGAATAATGGACTTTTATGTATTTTTTGACCGTGATCCTGTGCCAAACAAAGATCATATTAAAGGCATAGAGATCGATATGCAAACTGAAAAAGGAACGATATATGGATCGATCTTACCTTGCTACATTTATAAGATTTGCCAAATCATATATATCGAGTTCTTGATCCGATACTAACACACCACCTACCAGCTTCATCATATATCTTAATTAGCTTCATTCACCATGCACACAAATAATCTTTAATTTCAATAACAAATTAAAATCAGAAAAGAAAAGAAAGATCAGATACGTAAGGCAAGAGTTAAAATGGAAGAATTAACGCAGAGATAAGGAAAATAGAGATGATTAGCTGCGGTACGGTGGATCAAGCGGCGGACGACGATATGATGGATCAGAGGAGACGACAGAAGTGGAGGCCGGAACGCCAGCAGAGGAACGGTGGTGGATCAGACACCGACGACGTTTCGGGGGATGGCTGGCCTTATGAGAGCAGCGTGTATATATATATATATATATATATATATATATATATATATGAACGTATAAGAAAAGGGAAATTTCGCATGAAGAATATATTCATGAAATTAATAGGAAATTTCATTATTGACTTTTCCAACTTGATGAACGATTCCCTTTTTCGTACCTAACGATCAAAGTTGGCTGCTTGAAAATTGAAATTAAGAAATTTTATTTAAATAAATTATTTTTAATTAATTATTTACAATCACTTTATAATATTAAAATTATTTTATTGCAAGTTTGTTTGCAGGCCTTTAGCTCGTGAACAACAATAATGAAAAATCGTAAGAACAAGCTAGAAGAAGAGTAGAAACAAAATAGAGGGTTTCTCATTCTTTTTAACGACCAACTGATGAGTACATTAGAAGGACATATATATTAAAACAATTGTAACCAAATACAATACTGGAAACATAAAGGAAATCGTTACATAATAATGTCCACAATTATTACTATTTATAACACTCTCCCTTGGACATTATTTGTCCATGACCTAGCATCATTAAAAACTTGCTAGGAAAAATCCTGTGGGAAAAACTTAGACAAGAAAAGAGTAGAATAGAAAATATATTCATGCCTTATTAAAAATTTCACTAGGAAAATCATGTGGTAAAAACCTAGTTGAAAAAAAAAAAAAAAGAGTAAATGATATATGTAAAAACATATATTGTATTGGTCGCCTCATTAAAAACCTTAACTTAAGAAAACCCTGTGGGAAAAACTTAGTTAAGGGAAAAAGAGTACAATCATAAGCCTTCAGGGCGCAAACTGCATAATCTTCAAGATTTTGGGGTTTGTCCATTTAAGCAATTATTTTGCAACTTTTCCACATTGTCATTACTACATCATACTCATTCCTCGTTAAAAACCTCATTAGAAAAATCCAGTGGGAAAAATTAGTTTAGGAAAAAAGTGCATGATGTATGTGTATTCTTGTTTTAGATTAATTACCTCATTAAAAACCTAAGATTTATGAAAAAAAAAAAAAAAAAAAAAAAAACCCGTGGGGAAAACTTAACTAAGGAAAGAGTACAACCGTTAGTCATCAATCTTCAGGATTGATTCATGTAAAATTATACTCAGCTCCCCCCTCAAGATAACAATCTTGATGTCCTATACATTAAATTTCCAAAATGTATAGAGAAATTTTGTAAATGAATATGTACAATTGTCAATGGAACGAATATACTTTATAATAATTTTATGACTCTTCTGGAGCTCACGTGGGTATAAGATTGACACCATAATATCTCATTAGTCAAAAGATTTCATTATATATTATTTTATCAATTGAGCGACACAATCTTTATTGTCCTTTTATAGGACAATGGGGGTAAATATAGTACAATCAGTTTTGGGACTTGGCTTTATGGGGATACCCAGTACCCAAGTAGCCCATTTATATATTGATTTGTATAAGTATCTAATCAAAATCAAGTATTGGCTAGCTGGTGTATAAAATTTTCTTCAAGGAAAAACACGATCTTCAAGTCGAGATAATACTTAGTTTTTCCAAGCTTTTGTTTCAAAATCTCCGTCTTTAGACATGAACTGATATCATCAAGCTCATTAGATATTTCATTGATGCTTATACCATCAATATTGATTGTGATAATAAATAAGTCCATTATCAACTCTTTATTGAGCACATAATTGTACATATTATTCCTTCTACATAGGGGTGTAAATGAGCCGAGCAGCTCGCGAGCGGCTCGGACAAAGCTCCGCTCGAGCTCGAGTCGAGCTCGAGCGGCTCGTTTAGTAATCGAGCTCGAGCCGAGCGTAGATATTCTAGGCTCGTGGCTCGTCGAGCCGCTCGCGAGCCATATAATATATACTCCCTCTGTCCCATTTTGCATGTCTTACTTTCCTTTTTAGTTTGTCCCAAAATGTTGTCCTCTTTCCAAAATTGAACATCACCATCATTCTACTTTTTCCCAAATTACCCTTATGACTTTTGCTTTTATTCCCAAAAGTGAAAAAGTGAAGGGCATAATTGGAAAATACATAACATTTACTTTAATTCCTTAAAAAGCGTGCAAAAAGCAAATGAGACAACCAATTCGGGACGGAGGGAGTAATATATAATATATATATATAATAATATAATATAATATAATAATATATAAAAATAACCATTAGAAATTAGAATTTTAAACTCAAAATCCCTAAAAGATTTCTATTATTTATGTATGGATAAAACAAAGTAGTTTGAATTTTAAACCAAAATATGTCAAATTAAATGTCAAAATCGAGCTCGAACTCGAGCTCAAGATCGAGCTCAAGTTCGAACTCAAACAATCGAGCTGCTCGAGCCGAACTCGAGCAGCCCGAAAATTACCGAGCTCGAGCTCGAGCATCAGTTTTCGAACTCGATCGAGCTCGAGCTCGAACTCGAGCCGAGCCTCCATTAACGAGCACGAGCTCAAGCTTACCAGGCTCGAGCTCAGCTCGGCTCGGCTCGTTTACACCCCTACTAGTTCTACATGAGGATAATAACCCCATTCGCAACTTTTTAAAGAGTAAATAATGGCACATAATAAATACATATTCCTTCTTCAAGAGGAAAAATTACTCAGTCAATTATTAACTGTTTCAGGTCATATAAAGACCTTAATACTTTTAATGTTGCGCTTGAGAACTTAAAATCTTTCGGGGACTTTTGAAATTAATATTAGTTGCATATCTACGTTTATTATTCTGCCAATAATATTATGTACGTTCATAATTTCTGTACTGTAGATTCATAATTTGATAATATGTGTTCATAATTTGATAACTATACAGTTTAGAAATTATGAATCAACATTACAGAAATTATGAATCTACAGTACAGAAATTATGAATGTCTAGTATAGAAATTATGAATCTACATTATAAATTTTATAAATCTATAATTTAGAAATTATGAATCTACAGTATAAAAATTATGGATCTACAGTACAGAAATTATGAATGTACAGCGTGTCCACCATGTACATTGTTGACACGGGTCCATAGCATAATTTGCCAAGAAATATGATCTTGATGTAATCCAAAACCTTCTGATGTCGGATGATGACAACATTTTTGGACAAGTTAATCTAGATGACTAGAAGTTGAAAATGAAGATAGCTGAATTTTCATTGTAATTTAATTTTATATATAATATAATATAGTCCTACTCAGGGCCGGCCCTAAGGGCGGGTCCCTAGGGCTTGGGAGGGTCACTAGCTTGATTTTTTATTTTTTAACAAAATTTTTAAAAAAAATGTTTTCATAGGTAAAGATCTGAATTCATAACTTTAAAATTATTTATTAATTTTAAATCTATTTAATAATTACAAATATTTGGTATACTTATCTCATTTAATAGATATATATTTGCGAATGTTGAATTAATTTATAATTAACACTTCATAAAAGGTAAATCAAATGGGTTTTTTTTCTCTCTCTCTCCCAAGTTAGGGTTTCGATATTTTTCAAAGAACGGCAACTGATCGGAGCAACATAGCTTGGCTTCGACGGACAGATCACAACTAGATACCGTGGCAGCAGCGTCGCAACAGGATCTGAACGAAGGAATGGAGAGGATAACCGAACGGTGGGGTGATATGGAGCTGGAGGACGAAGAAAGTGGCGTTGAGGCTGGCGGCCTTTACCAGCCGGTCGACGAGGAGGGCAAGCAGGTTTATTCGGTTGTGGGACGATTCCTCACGGCTAAATTGATTAAGGTTGAATACATGCGACAAGTGATGGCCTCGGCATGGATGCCGGTTATGGGGATGCGAGTCACGGAACTGCAGTCTAATTTGTTCTTATTCGCCTTCTATCACATCACGGATATGAAGCGGGTATTAGAAGAGGGACCGTGGTCGTTTGAAAATCAGACACTTGTATGTCGACAAGTCTGTGATGGTTTTTTGCCGGGGGAAGTTAAGTTGGACACCGTGGACATGTGGGTACAGGCTTATGATTTGCCGATGGGGTATACATCAAATGCAATATTGGAACAGGTTGGAAATTTTGTGGGGACGTTCATTCGGTGTGATGATCGTAAAGTGGGTGGCCCCTGGAAAACGTTTTATCATGTGCGTGTGTCGGTACCGGTGGACAAGCCTCTAAAGCGGAGAATGAAACTGATACGCAGAGATAAGTCTTGGGGATGGGTAAATCTGAAGTACGAACGACTCCATAATTTATGCTTTTGTTGTGGATTATTAGGCCATCTTGATAAGTTCTGTGTGAAGGCTCGGGTGTCCGGTATTATGCCT